ATCTTCTTCCTAGTGAGTACAAGCCTATATAGACATTTAAAAAAAAAACCTACACCAAACTAAACCCCCAAAAAATCCCCAAAACAGCAACAGTGATCTTGCTTTTGTTGTCAGTTCATTTTTTCTTTCAGTGTCTTCAGCTTAAAACTGACTTAGGACTAAGTGCTTTTGCAGGCTGAAGTCCTAACACAAGCAGCATCAGGAAAGAATGAGATAATGAAGAACAATTTTATAATTTTACGATGTGATGAATACTTGTATCTGTTCAGTTAGAAGCATCATGGCAAGTACCCCACCCTCCTGTCAGCCCTGACGGTACCCCTACACTGCAAAACGAAGATCATAGAATCATAGAATGCTTTGTGTTGGAAGGGACCTTTAGAGGTCATCTAGCCCAACCCCCCTGCAGTGAGCAGGGACAGCTTTAACTACATCGGGTTGCTCAGAGCCCCATGCAACATGACCTTGTATGTTGCCAGGGATGGGGCCTCTACCACCTCTCTGGGCAACCTGTTCCAGTGCTTCACCACCCTCATTGTAAAAAACTTCTTTCTAATGTCTAGTCATAATGATTGTATCACAAGACTTACGCAATGGGGCCAGCATAGTGCTCTGTGAAGGATGCAAAGCTTTCATTTCTAACTGTAGAAGTCTGTACAGCACTGAAAGCCTTATTTACGTGAGTCACTAACTTCTGTGTTATCTCTGCCTACACACTGCAGCCTTTGACAATACTTAAAGTCATGTTTTAGGTGCAGCATCCAGTACAAAAACTCCCTAGGGACTTAGCCTGGTTTCTGGCCCTTACTTAAGCTAGACATGCTTGTGTCTTCATTGCTACTGCCATCATTCTGGAGATATGTAAGCCAGAACAGACTCTTTCTTATGTCAAAACTCACACCTTAATTTTTCTGTATAGGCACATCGTTGATAATAAGCAATAATAAGGGTTAGCAGACAATAATAAATGACTGATTGCAACCTTGATCTTAAATACACTCACACTGCTGCAAGGCAAGACAAAACACTTGATCAATTAATTTGACCATCATCTTGCCAAGGATGGATGTTACAGAGAAGCAGTTCTCTACCAAAGAGGTTGTCTAAAAACAGTCCTGTTTCTAGAGTACTACCTCCAGAAGTTGACTAATGATGTATGAAATAAAAAAGATGCACCATCCTTAATCAATGTCTCCTCATAACATGAAGACATATATAATTGCATTATTTCATGCTACAGCATCACTTTCAAACATATTTTCCAGGTAGCAGTTGCCAGAGAAGCTACTAATTTTCATTTAAGCAAAACTTCCAAAATTTCCAAATACTTTCTTGTCTTGGGGAAGTAAGGTATTTACGTGAACAAGCAAAGAAAACACTATTGGATTTTTCACTTAGTCACCAGTATCTGTCATCAGCATCTTCATGTTTACAGTAGGAAACTACATTGTGTGTCTTGTCTGGTGAGGAACTGGTATGCTTTTTTTTCTTTTAACACAACCTTGGTTTTAAGATCCTTTTGAAATTCATTTTGTAAGACCTTACTCAATGGCTGAGCTATTTGTATTTGTTATTCAGCAAGCTCTGCTGTCCACTGTTTCTTATTCAGCTGAATGGCAGAAATAACCCTTCTGTATTATCTTCTTTTAGGATTGTAAGCAAAGGTAAGGTAATAAATGCTACTTAGACTTGAAAAACACCACAGAGCTAACCACCAAATGCCCAGTAATATTATCAGTAAGCAGGAAAATTTGAATCAATTATTATTTTGTATCTGGTGTTGTGGTTTAGCCCCAGCCAGCAACTAAGCACCA